AAGTAAATTATAATTTTCAGGCCTCTTTTTCTGAGATGGTCCACACACACAAGATTATACAGTCATTCTTACTACAGCTCCTACAAATATGAGGACTCTTGCCAATATTCCGAAAACTCCTCCTAGGGAAGCTTTTGCTTTCTTAGCAGCAGCAGTATTTATTAGATTTTAGTCTTCAGAAAAAAAAAAATTGTCGCATTATGTACCTCACCAAAAGCAGCAACCTTGATTGTAGACAGAAGTTCAGAAAGATCCTGAAGTAGGACTGTACTATCTGAGGCTATCCAGACCTCCAATTACCTCCTCTAAATAGGAACGAAAAAAACTTTTCCCTCAATCTTATCCTTAAACATCTTGCATTCATCCAAGTCCTGTTCTACTTTTTGCAATTGCTAAAGATGTACAAATCTGCTTTATGAGAACTCTAAACTTAGTTCAAGGGTGTACAGGCAAGCTTGTTTGTGTTCTATGGAAGAACAGAAAGTGGTTGAGAGGTAGCTGATTAATGTGAGAAGCAATTTACAATTCTTTAGTCTTTGCACCACATCAGATTTCCTCTAGCATCATGTATTTTAAATGTCCTCTTTTTTTCAAGGCCCTACAGGTAAAAATATCTCCTCTATTTTGGAGAAGAAAAAAATATTTTAAAAAATAGAAAAAAAGGCACCTAAATGTATCACCCCAAAAGGACTCAGAAGGCAAATGAGGGGCATACATAATGGTATAGATGCTCGGCTCAGTCACCTCCTGCCTCTCAAGAGTGGGAACATATCACTAGCATCTGCCAATTCTCACTGATACACACCACAAATATACCTTCTTTTCCAAATGAAACAAAGGGCTAAACTGAGGGGGGAAGGGGAGCACCACCATATTTTCTTAAATATCCATGCAAGTGCCTGCATGCCATACAGGATGCACAGAACATACAGCTCCAGTCGAGGGATTGATTTACATCTGCTAGAAAAGGTGTATTTCTCATGTACTCTGGGTTGCAGTTAAGTACTCACGATGGAAAACTTAAAAAGCAGAATGGCATACTTATTGAAGTAAACAGAGCTAAACCTCTAAGGTCTAGATTTCTTAGCACCCCAGAAATATTTAGAAACTCTGAACAACTAGCAGGAAAAAAACCCCCTATGTCCTGGTATTTTAACAAAAAGAAAAATAATTTAAGATTTCCAGAATTCTATTTACTCTGTAAAGTCATGAATATGTATTACAAACTCAGCTTCAAATGCAGTCAGACCACATTCTGATTTTGAACAAACAGTTGCAGGAAAAAACCTTTTAAATCTCCCCATTGTTATATTCCATATTTAAAGCATCTAGAAGTTAGGTGAAATTAATTTAAAAGAAATAAAATTAAATTAGTACAGTAACATTTTAATATATCTGTCTTTTGTGAAAAATATTACATTGGCACATTTAAACAAACCAGCGTATTTGTCAGTCATTTTTTGTCTTGCATTGTCAGACAAAATTCTCTAACAAAATTTTTCAAATATATGTATAAAAAAGGAACAAAATAAAGTATTACATTTTCACAAGGAACTTATAAGTAGCATTCACACTGACACAAGCTTCCCCTAAGAAGTCCTTAATGTTTAAGAATAAAATTGCAGATGAAATAAAGAGAAGGAAAACCAAAAAAAGAGCAAAGTCTTCTACAGGAAAAACTGTAATCAGATAATTGAATTTAATGGCATATGTGTAAAAAATTTATAACTATCGAGAAACCACACTGGGCAATAATAGTTTATTTATACTAAAGACTGTAAGGCATAAATGTTAACTACAGATCACATGTAAAAATATATAATAATAAGTATCTTACATAGTAATAAGCCTCCCAGAATCTTCCTCATGCAGAGGCACAGGGGAAACTTTTGAGAACACACTCTTCTCACATTTTGCTGAGGACATAGCTGGCACCAATCATCTCAGATTTTTGAAGCCTTTACTTTTCTGAAGCCTTTTCTACAGCCTTTAATAATTTTATTTTTTTCCTTGTGCCTCATATCACTATAGAAAATGATCAAAGTTGTTTAGAAAGGTGTGGACTAGACAGTCTAATTAATTAATTACTGCTATTAACAGTGGGAAAGAATGTGCAAGTGTATGTCTATGTGAATGATTCTGAAACAAGTTACTGGAGGAAAGAGATATTAATGACAGCACTTTTTGGGATCAGTCTTTGCAAATCAAAATAATAATTAACAGATAAGATTATCAGGACTGTTGATTTGTGCTCCCTCTACTGGTTAATTCACCCTATGCCCGTAAAAATAACAATAGTCTGTAAAAAAATGCCCAGATTGTTGTATTGCAACTAAATGGTCTAAAAAACATGAAACCAAATTGTATTATTAAAAAAACAACTCTTGTACATAGCCAGTGTACTATATACAGCCAGACCCCTTGTACAGAGACCAGTTCTAAATGTCACCTTATCTCGTTAAAATGTCAGAATGGAAGCAAAAGGATCTTGCAATTCAAAAGATGTTTCCTATCATACTAGCTTGGGTTTTGCGTCTAGTTCATAAAAATTCCATTTCCTTCAGATTAAGTAATGCAATTAAACATTTCAAATTCTGAATAATTGTAAGAAGCTGCTGTTAATTGGATTTTTTAATCAGCAAATGGCAAATATGTAAAAAAACACAGGGGAAAAAACAGTTTACGAAAAATCACTTATCTGACCACAATTGGTACTAGTCACAAGCAGCCTGTATATTCCTGGGCAATGCAAACGCCACTAGCAGCTTCAATCACCTGAAAGAACTGAAGACCACCTCACTTTTGAAATTTGATTATGTAATACCTATGGCACTCTGCATTTCCTCTCAAGGTGACAAAACATACTCTATAAATATTTATATAGCACATAGCAGATCTTCTGATTCTATTTCATGAAGCACAAATAACATTGATACATCCACAAGCTTTTTCATTACCTCTTCTGCAAAGATAGTTTAAATACTAATTTTAAATCGCAGCTTCTGACAAAAAACTGTTTAAATGAGCCTTAAGTGGAGTGAGTTGTAAATACTAATGTATTAGTACAATTACTGCTAGTTAGCAGAAGTGGAAAAAAAGGCTAACTTCATTTACTTTTCTCAGTATATTTTATTTTGTTATTACGGGGCTTTAGTTTTGTAGATGAGCAAGACAAACGTCTATTGTTATAAACAGATGAGAAATGTAAACACTTTACAGGTCCCACAACGACTGACTTCTGAATTGATTTCCGAGTAAGACAGGATCTCAAAGAAGCATTCAAAGAGCCAGTGTGACAAAGAGCTCTATTGCCCCCTAATGAGCCAGTTCACAAAATCTCCTCTGTAACACCGTTTCATGTCTCTCTTGTGAAAGTTGCAGTTGTTATATCCATGCATTATTAAAAATGAAAAATTTTGTGAGAACAAAGGACAGTAATTTAGAACATTGAGAACACTAAATTCATGCCAAATTTCTGCACAAAAGGCACACACAAGTTTGAGGGGAAGAAAAAAGAAGTATCTAGGTTATTCAGATAACTTGATGCAAAAAGAGGTCATGGAGACGCAAAATCCAGCACAAAAATAATGTTCCAACAATTCTGTCAGTATGTAAGCAGATATTAGGCAATCTTAAATCTATTCTACACTAGGATGTAATCATTCAGAAAAAAAAAAAATAATCAAAAAAACCCCAGCCTGTAGTTCACTTCACACCAACCCAGATTTTTACATTTTAGTGTCTGTAGTGTGAGAGCGTCAGTATGTTTTTCCTGTTGTACTGTGCTATCTATATGCCAGTGACAAGTCTATTCTAGGCTTGTACTTATTGCAAAATAATTCTGATCTTGGTATCTAATTATACCCACTCAAAGTAATTGAGAGGAAAAAATAATTAAAAAAAAAAGAAATCCACTTGCCAAATTCTGTTTGTAAAGGAAACAGATGAACTTTCTGTGACAAAAGAAAGTGCCATTTTTCCCTCTTTTTTTTTTTTTTTTAATTGTATTGCCACAGAACCGAATCTGTATGTAGTGCTGCCCAACATAGCCTGGACGTAAATACTGTCTGGTTCCTGTATTCACACTTCATAAATACAGATTGCAGTGAACTGCTGAAATAAAAAAATACAACTGCTACAAGTACTGGTAAGAAGCAGAAACATAAGCTCTGCATTCTCTTTTATTCTAACATAAATCAGAAATTCTGCTCACATTAGTAAAATTACTGTGATTTAAATGCAATGCTAAAGCAGAACTGAGTTCTGATTTTTCCCCTCAACTCTTTTATACTGACTTTTTCATAGATAAACATTCCAACAGACACCACAAACTCCAATTTCCATTAGCAAGATAAGGTTAAAAAGCAATTAATATGTTTAATTTAAAATATGCTAGCTATAACAAAAGATACAGACTTTATGAATTTAAAAAAATGTTCATTAGCAGGTTTTGGCACTGAAACTCTAACAGTCACTAAGATCTTTGATCTTGAGACGTCACCTTAAAAGGTCCAAATATTACCCATCTGTAGCCTCACGCACTATGCCATCATTCATATAAACACATCATTAGCACAGAAAGGCTTCAAGTGGTGAGTAGTATCTTAAATAACCACACAAACAGTAGAAAGCTGCAAGTATAAAAAGTGTAAGTACCAATCACATGCTATGTAATAAAAATAAATTGTCTATAAAGATATTTTAGAGACCTAAAATAACCATATTGCATGATCTTTCCCT